GACGGTTGTATAATAAAACTTTTCTCGATACATTTAGGCTTTTTGAAAGGGAAAAAATTAAATGATATAAAAAAGAAGGGTTCAGAGTTCAAATCGAAAGAAGAAAAAAGGCCTGCAAATAAACGTGATTAATACACAGTTAAATAAAAAAATTATTGATTTTGTTATTATTTTAATAAAATTGGTAAAACATTATAAAAAAATATTATTATTTTTATGATTTTATTATTATTAAGTATTTTATCGGGTTTAGTAATATATCTGGTAAAAAAAATAATATTTTAGGTAGTGCTTTATCGGATATATTACTAAGCTCGGTAAAGCGCTCAATAATAACAAAACCAATAAAAATAATAATATTTTAAGTAATTTTTTATTGGTTTTGTTAAAAGAATAATAACAAAATCAATAATGCATTTCCTATTAAGACTACCGTAGAACTTCATATATAAAAGATGAATTTATTAGATTAGCTATTTAGCAACAGAAAATATTGTTATTTTTAAACATTTTATATTAAAATAATTATGCATGTATAGTGTTTTTACATTATTTTAATCTCAACATTTTAGGATTAAAATAATTAATATTTAATTAAATAGAGACTTTAGCATTTATTTTTTATTTTTTTGAGTATTTTGACACTTGACGTTTCATTTTAGGACAAGTGCCTCTATTTTGGAACGTTAGTCGTTTGTTGATTAATCTATTACTACAAAGGTATATTATGAGAACGACCCTCTCAATATAGTTGTTACATTCATAATGTCATGATTCGAACCCTTAACATTATTTAATAAATCTAAAACATCATATTATTAGACAAATTAATTGTTGATTTTGAAATAACTATTTAATTTAAAGTTAAGGAGAATTATTTATGATTATGGCTATTGAAATAATTAAGGAATTATTTTTGGAGAAATGGAAATAATTGAGGGGGGAAAAGCCAAATGCAAAACGTAAAATCTCATGAAGTGGAAGGGCAGTGTTGTCCATAATTATCAAAATTTTCCCTCATAAATGAATAATGCAATTCCTCAATGAACACATTTATAGCCATGTTTCCCAACTTTACCTCTTTTGGACCCCAACCTTTTTTTCTTTCTTTTTATTCTTTGACACCACACCTTACAGTTTTGTATAATTTGGTTTTGAGGTATTTTTGGGTTTGGTCAATACCATTAAATTTCTTTTATGATCCCAAACTAAGTTAACTCATTGGTTAAAAAAACGGTTGTTATTCCTAGAGGTGTGAAGTTCGAGCACCCGAGATTGTTAGAGTATTGGAGCGTTCATTGTCAAATGATTACGAATCTTTAGAACAAATACTACCACTTGTAAGCACTTTATTAATAAAAATAATTTTAAAATATAATTAATTAAGAAACATGAGACTATAAGTAGTGGTGGATCAACGACTTAGTAAAAGTGAGCATTTAAATTTTATTTGAGTAATTATTTATTTTATTGATTGTGTCTATTTTAATATATTATTTGATCTTATATAAAAATTTATATATTAATATAAATGTGTTTACTGTCAAAAATTTTTTGAATCTACCACTGATTATAAGTAGTTTAAATGTTATAATATGTATAACTTTGGTAATTAAACTTGAATAAAATGATATAAATCATTATTTTTTATAAATCTTATGTGAATAAAATAATATATGCTTAAATTTAATACCTTAATATTTAATAATAAATCTTTTTAACTACTGAAACACATAATTCAGACTATATAAATCATTATAAGTAGTGATTTGAGTCATAATCATTAATTTTTTTGGGTTCCAAAGTCCAACTGAAACAGCTAATTGGACCTTTGGAAATGTGTAGTTGAATTTTCACATCCATCTGACAATAAGTAAAATAAAGGAATTCTTTTGTTCAATGTAAGGAAGGTTTCACTACTCATGCTTAATTAACAAAACAAACCTCCATCTGCTTTGTTTAGAAAAAAAAATATTTCACATATTTTATTTTATTTTTGTCGTAACCCCTTTTTTCATTTATAATAAAATGAAAAATTAAATTTCAATTTTATAAAAAAAAAAATTAATTTAATCGATTGAATGGAACAAATCAAAATAAATTCCTTACTCATTCTAGTATATTTTAAAACGTGAATTTATTTAATGATTTCGGTGATTAAATGAAATGTTATTTTTTTTTTGAGATATTGGCTTCTATTATTTTATTTTGAGATGAGATTCCTATGAAGATAGAAATCATTAGTCAACAAATAATTAATGCTATAAAATAAGAACTTTTTTACCCTAAAATAAAACGATGATGTCAAAATGCTTCAAAAAGAATGAACATGGACCAAAATGATTAATTTGTCAAATGTTAGGATTTTTTACCCTAAAATAAAACGTTACAGATCATAATACTAAAAAAAACCTAAAATGGTCATTGAATTGATGCATAATATCAAAAAATATCTCTAACATTTGACTAAATAGTTATTTTAGTCCATGTTTTTCTTTTGGTGCATCATTACTCCTATCGTTTCATTTTGGGACAAAAATGTCTTTATCTGGATAGAAATTATTAGTTAACGAGTGGTTAACATTCCAAAATATGAGTATTTTTACTCCAAAACAAAAACATTGAGGGTCAAAATGATTTTTAAATAAAATATTAGAACTATTTTTGTCATAAGATAAAACATTGAATCAAAATACTTCAAAAAAAATAAATACTAAAAATAACAATTTTAATAAACGCTAGATATTAATTTTGACATTATAGCTTTAATTAAATATTAAAGATTTTTTCTAGTTGTCCTCCCGATTTCAAAAACTTTGTCTTGATTAATTAGATCGATCCGTAGCATATATATATCTGATTTTGATGGATAGTCTCTAACAAAAATTTCCTGTATACAAGATTTTTTATTTATTTTTACATTATGTCAAAAAGTTATGTTACCATTACTACACGAACCTGTCACCTTTTTTTTTGTTCGGAGAATGAAATCCAAAGGTAAAAGGCAGTCCGAGACCAGTACAGATTAAGCCTAACGATATGAAACAATATGGATGAATCGAAGAGGAGTTGGTACGGTCATATCATCAAGAAAATTTTAATTTTCATATAGTTTAATTATTTTATTTATATTTTTATACTAATATTTTAATTTCATATTTTTTTAAAATTTTATAAATTTAGTATCTTCTAATTTTTAATATAACTTCTACACTTACGTCTTTTAATATAAATTTCAACATATGTATATGAAAACAGTGGCTTTATAATTATGATGGTAGCGTTAAATTAAATACTAGTTCGATGAAGAAGCCTTAACCCATAAATTAGGAACTGTATACAAAGCCAAAAGGGACAAAAATGCCAAACTCAATTAATCAGAACGGTGGTCCAAAGAGTTAGAGAAAACATTCAAATATAAGTTAAACTCGCAATATATATTCTTATATATTACTTGATTTATGCCCACACATAAAACAACAGGTTACATAAGCCTGATCATGAGTCACGATTCAGATAAATTTGAATAATTTATTTTGTTATTAAAAATTTTTATACTTTAGAGAAATAATTTTTAAAAATTTTGAAGTTCTTTTTGGATTAAATATGTCGAAATCGTTAGATTTTTGCTGATCAAAGTTTTATACATTCCTCTCTATCTATTAAAGTCTCTTATACTTCACCTATAACATAGGCTCTTAGTCGGATATAATGTTAGATAATACTTCTGACATACTCACATGATATGTCAAAATAAAATTTAAATTTAAATTATTAGATCCATATAATTTGCCGATTTATGAATAATCATGATTATCATATGAATAATATTGAAAATCATTATAAATATCCTCAATCAAAATCGAAGGAAAGGGATGAAACCCTCACGATTCTAATATCGCTTTTTTATTCCTCCATAATAAACTCTTCTCCTCTTTCATATGTGAGTCAATAATCTTTTTTTATCAACTACAACTCTCTTTTTAAATTAAAAAAAAGTCACCGATTATCACCAAATTAATTTGTTGTCATCAATAAAAATAATAAAATATTATAATATACAGATAACACTTTAATAATATTGACTGACATAAATTTATCATTAAATTAAAACAAACCATATAAATTAGAATTAAATTTTAGGTAAACGAAATCGAATCTATGGTATGGAACCGACAATAGACAAGTGAATAGCAATCCCATCTACTGTCATTATTGATTGTATTGTATTATAGGATAGGAGAGTAAATCTGACAAAGAATTTTGATCCAAAATTAAAAATAAAAGAAAAATCTGACAAAGAGTTCATTCACATATGTGATGTTTGTACACTCCACTTATTATTGGACCCACCCAAACCCCACGGTGAAAAGTGAAAACACCAAAATGGTCAAAATTATTCTGATACAAGCCAATTAAGCCTGAGCCAAGCCACACATTTTAGCATAATTACACTCAATTCAATATATAATTACTTTTAGGGTAAACTATATGTTTACTATTCCAACTATCACTTCTATTCATCTAACTACTTTTTTAAGATATAATATCAAAATTTGCCCCCAACGTTTACAAAAATTATTATTTTACCCTTATTCTATTTTTGAAGCATCTTGGCCTTAATATTTTATTTTAGGATAAAAAGACTCATAATATTTGACATAATAATCACTTTATCCCTTATTATTATTTTTGAGATATTTTAGTCCTTAATGTTTCATATTAGGTTAAAAAAGACTCTTATTTTTAAATGATAAATGATCAAAATAAAATTAAAATATATAAGATATGGTTTTAACATAAAAAAATAATGTAATGACCAAAACGAAAGAAAAATGATAGATGGGTACGAAAGTTGTAGTTTACCCTTATTTTTATGTACGAATAAATAAAGATCCAAAGGATAAAAGATTGATGCATTGCTTTGCCGTTGCTAATTGTTGCCATTGCCGGCACTCTCTTTTTTTGCTTCTGCTTATTACACAATCCCCTCTTTTCTTTGGTCAAGACGAAGCCTTCTTCTTCTTTCTTTTGTTCACATTTGTTGTTTGCTCTCTAATTCCTTCTTCTTCTGTTACAAAACAAAGCCTTTTTCTCTGTTGGGATTTGTTGTAAATTTCATCCTCTGTTTTTTTACCTTCTTCAGATCTGTTTCCTTCTCCCTGTTTTTCGTGCTTGTTGATTTTTCAAGTGTTAAGATAGATAAACAATGAGTAAAGAAGAGCTTATGAAGATCCAAGTATGTTTACTCTCTTTCTTTCTTTTTCAAAGGTTGCACCTTTACCTCATTCTCACTCTAAAAATCTTTTTTTTTTGCAGACTTGTGTTCTCAAAGTTAACATACACTGTGATGGGTGCAAGAACAAAGTGAAGAAAATTTTACAAAAGATTGAAGGTATTTCTTCTCTAATATACTTCTTTTTGCAGAAAAAAAAACTGATTGTGACGTGTTTCTCTAATTTTGAGCTCTTTGGGTTTTTTTCCTTTATTTTCTCAGGGGTTTTTAAAACCACCGTTGATTCTGAGCAAGGTAAGGTAACAGTACTGGGAAATGTAAACCCAGATGTTCTCATCAAGAAGCTTGCAAAATCTGGGAAACATGCAGAGCTTTGGGGTTCTTCAAAAGCAACCAACAACAACAACAATAATCAGGGTCACCTTGCTAACCAGTTCAAGAACATGCAGATGCTTGATAATGGCGGAAAAGGTGGAAACAACAACAACAAGAACAACAATGTCGGCAACAATAACAAGAAGGAAGCGCCGAAAGGGGGCAACAATAACCAACCACCCAAAGTAGGCCAGCCAACGCCTCAACAATTGCAGCAGCATCTTCAACAGCTTCAGCAAATGAAGGGGTTTCAAGATCTGAAGCTTCCTCAGTTGAAAGACATGAAGAATAGTCCTATTCCCAACAACAATCAGAAGGGTTTGAAGTTTGCTGAAGAGGATGCTTTGAGTGATGATGATGATTATGATGATGACGATTTGGATGATGATTGTGATCTCGATGACGATGATTATGACGACGAAGAAGACGAGTTGGATGATCCTCGTCATCCGCTTAACAAGATGAAGCCCGTGATGGGAAATGCTCCAAAGGGATTACCCAACAATATGATGATGTTGAAGGGGATGATGAATGTTAATCATCCTCAGCTTATGAATGCCCAAAAGCCAGCCCAAAACGCCGGACCTAACGGTAAAAAGGGTGGTGCCGGTGGCAATGGTGTGCCTGCTGGTGGTGGTAACAATGGAAACGGAGGTAAAAAAGGCGGTCCTGTTGGAGGATATAATAATGGGGGAAACCCAAATCAAGGTGGTGGCGGTGGTAGAAACGGAGGTAAAAATGGACCTCAGGAGGCAAACAAGAACGTTGGTGGTGGTGTAAATAACGGTGGTCCAAACGGTGGCAAGAAGGGAAATAATGGTGTTTCCGATGGGTTCCCAACCATGGGTGGCGGCCCAAATGGTGGAAACATGGGTGGTCCTCAGAGGGCGGCTGCCATGAACATGGCAATGGGCCAAATGGGTAACATCCCAGCGGTTCAAGGCTTACCAGCAACCGCGGCTATGAACGGCAATGGCGGAGGCGGCAACGGTGGATACTTCCAAGGGGCGGGTCCAGATGTTATGCCGGGTAATCCATACCATCAACAACAGATCATGGCAGCAATGATGAACCAGCAACGTGCAGTGGGAGGACCAAGTGAGAGGTTTCAGCCAATGATGCACGCTAGGCCACCACCAGCTGTCAATTACATGCCACCACCATACCCATACCCATATCAATATCCATACCCGCATCCATACCCACACCCTCAACCCGACCCGTATACCCACTTCTTTAGTGATGAGAATACCTCAAGCTGCAATGTTATGTGAAGAAGATATTTGGAATTTAATTTACCTTTAAAAAAAAAGAGAAATATTTGGATTTAAGTTGAAAAAAAGGAAGTTCCAAGTTTGATGATGCCATAATATACATAAAAAAATGGTATTTTTAACTTTTATTTTAGTTTAATCTCCCCATCTTTTTTTTTTACTTATAAGTTGAATTAGGGCTTAAATTATGATTAGTGGTAAATTAGGGCTTAAATAAAGATTACGCCTCACAAATTTTGTTTGTTTATTTTATTTATGTATTATAAGCTTGTTTTATTGAATAAGTAACTGTTTTATTATAGTTGTTTTAATTAACTCTTTTTCTTTTCATGTTCCATGTTCCATGTTCAACCAAAAATGCCCCTTTCTGCCTATTTGTCTCTCAATTGTCTCGTTTTGATATAAAATAAATAAGATATATTAAATGATTTTAATGATAAAAATAAATGTAATTATTTGTAGGATGTATATATTGTTAGTAGGTTAAATAAAATTGTAATCATATATTATATTTCTCTATTTTAAGAGGATCTATGTTCAAATATTACATAACATTTTTTGTTGTTTTCTCAGTTCTTTAGGCATTTGTAAAAGAAATGTCGATCTATCCATGCCACATTTATTATTTGTGGGTGAGTCTTCTAATAATTTTTTTTTTTTGTATAACAAAGTTTTAAACTCGAGATTTGTTAAACCCGAGATTGTTAAACTCGAGATTATTAAACTCGAGATTTATTTAAACGATATCAAATTACTTATCATTTAAATTAATTTTGTTGATAATGATATTTATATGATGAATATGTATTATTAATAGTTAAAAAATATAAATAAATATTATATATTTTAACCGTTCTACACTATTAAGAAAATAACATTAGTATTATTGAAATTAAGAAAAAAAGTAAAATAAGAATAGATTGATTAAATATAAGAAGAAGTTTTTAAATTCAAGTTATAGTATACCATAATAGTTAAACAATGATAAGAGTCATGTGATTGTGTGGGGCAGAGTGAGCGCGGCTGCAGACATAGTACCCACCAATCTTGAATACCTATTGACGATTTTGTCCCTGCTCTCGTTTCTTGTAATGATAACCGCATTAACTTTTTCAACCTTTTTACATTCTGGTTTTTCACTTTCACAAAACATGGTAAAGATTTCCCTTGTTTGTTTCTTCCATATCATGCACTGATTTTTGTTTCTCAATTATGTGCTTCCTAAATAAATTATATTTAATTTAATGATTTTTAGGTTTTATAATTTTCAAAATAATTAGTGTAATTCTTGAACTTATATTGTGTTTAATATGGTTTTTAAATTGAGATAAAAACAATTTGATTATTTAATTGATGAAAAGTATTATTGATCGTTATAATGTTAATACGATGATACATAATGTTGATATAATAATTCAAAATATTAACGTGATAATCAACTATTAATGATAATGTGACATACAAGTTTAATTATTTTTTAAAAAAATTGATAGTTTAATTAATTATGAAAAAGACTAATAAAACCAATAAAAATTTTAAAAAAAATTGAAAAAAATAAAATCTTTAAACACTTTCACTGAAAAAGTATTTTGACCATCTCACGTTAGTCTGAATATACAATTTTTGTTGATCATATTAACATTTGAAATATATATAATAGTACTTTTTATATTTTTTATATTTTTTTAATATTCCTTAAACAGGAGATCATAAAAATACGAATCCATAAACTCATAAGTAAGATAAGTGTATTTTATAAGTTAGCTCAATACACGATGTACCAGGACTTGCGAAGAGCCCTTCAAATCATTTGAAATATGATTAAATGTGTATATGATTGATTCGAATGACTTAAGATATTTTCTGATTATGTTTAAATTAAGTCTCGACTAATTTAGTAAAAATATATCGTATAAGTGTTGATGAAATAAATGTATGATAATAAAAGCATGAGATAAAAAGTGTACGATGTGTGTATTGATGATTGAAATGCGTATGAAATTAAAAGTATGTTAGGCGTTTTTTAATTTAACTATGTGAATATGCTTAATTTTCTTTATGCTTATATGTTGTACGTATATATATTATGTATGTATATATATGACATGTTTGATAATATTATCAAATGATATTTGAGTTAAATATTATATTTCAAACACTCGAGATGTACATAGGATAATCTGATCCAGATGTTGAACGCTACATTAGCTACTAAAGTGACCCGATTTACATATTACGACTATTGTTAATCATATGCAAAATTAAAATTTTCATAGAAACATACAACATAAGTTCACACACACAATATTTAACCGAGCGCAAACATAGATCATACGAGAGTATTTCTAATTCGGATAATAGTATTTTTGTCTTTTCACATTCGTCATACAAAAATATAACGAAAATTAAAACTCAAATAATCTGGCTATACTTCAGTTCAATATACTTGCATGAAACATGCAAAATCTATACTCCAATAGACATCATATCAGACCCTAATCGCACACATAATATATTGTAAAGACAAAATTATAATCTTATTATAAATTTCTGAATTAAAATGAATATTATTCTTCTCAGAGGATATAAATTCGAGTGACTGCGTCTACATGATATTTGTGCATTGTCACTAACTAAGAAAATTTTAAACATATATCATATTCTAATCACGCCGGACTATTTAAAAAAATATGTACTATTCTAAAAATTTATTTATTGCAGTAAAAAGCGTTACTGGAATGGTTCAATTACGTGCACATGCACGTTAGAAAACCACATTTGGTTAGTGGTATAATGGATGTTCCATATTTAATTCATGTTTGGTTAGTGGTATAGTGGTTATCCCATGATTTAAGTTATGTCACTAAGGTGGTGGTTTTTGATGGGGAATCATCCTTCTAAATACCCATTTAGCACAACGTTCATAAGAACTCAAAACAATTTAAAAACAATGTTATATCTTAGCACAAGGTTCATAAGAACTCAAAACAATTTGAAAACAATTTAATATTTAAAGTTTGGGATTTTATTCTATATAGTAAGGTTTTAAGCGCTTAAAAGATTCTTGGTAGTTTTAATCTTTGGTGCAATCGAATTTGAAGTGTTCAATAATAATTCACGAAGATTTGAAGTATTTAACGGTGGTGCTACCATATTCAGTCACATCCTATTTTTGCATCAATTAAGCAATGGTCGGAGGTATAAATAATTTCGATCTTTCTTTTGTGTTTATGCTCATTTTGTGCTTGCATTTAGTATCAAAACATGTTTTAGTCCCAACCTTATTTGTTTTTAAAAATTTGTATGTTTGTCAAAATTATGTTCACATGTTTCTTTTTTTAAACTTTGAGAATTTTTCGTTGGAAGCTTTATTTTTTGAAGTTGTTATATTTTATTAAAAATTTTCTAAAATTAATTATGTTTAAAATAATTTTGGGAACATTTTAAAAATATTTGTATGAACTTTTTTTGTGTCTAAATTTTTTTGATTGTATGTGAATTACATGGTTATTAGTTACATGCATTTTAGGTAGGTGCATGCAAAATCTAAGACTTATTGCATAAATTATTTTTCATTAAAATTTTAAGATATATGTCTAGGAAATTAAATAATTTTATTTAATTAAAGAATTAGTAACAACTTAAGTTTAATAATAGGGTAAAGTACACAAATGATCCACCAACTATAGAGCGCTGCTTTATTAAGTCTCCCAATTATTAAAAGTTACAAAAGGGTTCCTCAACTATAGAGCGTTGTTTTGTTGAGTCCCCTAACTATTAAAAGTTATAAAATGGCCACAAGACTATTCATATATTCCAAACTCGTTCTTTTCCGTTAAAAATTGAAGACCATTTGAGCTGGATGTTAATTACTAAAGGTAAGCATACTAACAAGTCAAATAAAGATGTCAAGAGGAATTCGACCATATTGAAAATCATCGATTCTAATATATGTTTCCCATATATGTATGTACAAGGTTAGAAATATCTCATCACTTTTTATAGACAATTACTCACGATGCATGTATCTCTACAAGTTTCGTCACAAAAGCAAATAATTAAAAGCCTATAAGGTTTTCAAGGCTGAAATAGAGGAAAAATGTGGTAAGCAAATCAAGATTGTGAGAACTAATAGAAGTGATGAGTATTCTGGTAGATATATTAAAGATGGATAATACACCATGTCAAGATCACTTGATCGAAATGGTGTTGCACAAAGAAGAAATCGAACTTTAGTGGATATGGTATGAAGTGTGCTTAGCAACTCTAATCTAACTAATTTTTAAAGATTAAAGCTCTCAAAAGGACTATGTATATATTATATCGGAAGGTTGTCCCGAAAATACCTTTTGAGTTGTTTAAAGGTTTAAAATCAAGTTTATAATATACACACATACGAGGGTGCCCATATGAAGTGAGAATTTATAAACCACAAGAAAAGAAATTAGATACATAACCATCAATGAATATTTCATTGTATATTTCGAAAGGCCCAATATATATATATATATATATATTCCATTGTCCAACTCATAACATTAGAATTGTGAAATTAAGAAATAAAAAGTTTCTTAAGTATGACACAATCATTGGGAAAGATCTGTCTTGGGACTTAATTCATGTAGATCAACCTCTCACTTCAAGTTAGAGATTGGTTATCATACGAAATACCCCTTAAGAACGATAGAGTGTTAAACAACCAATCAATATAAATTCACAAGTTGTTGAAAATATTCTAGTAGATCGTCTTGTTCCAGAACTTTAGACATGATTGAACAAGAAGTTGAATAAGATGATCTAGAAGAAAATGTTGGTTCAACATTAAGGAGATCTACTAAAGAAAAAAAAATTAACAATTTCTAGTACCTACATTGTGTACTTACAAGAGTCTGAGTATAATGTTAGAGCTAAAAATGATCTCTAGTCATTTTCACAACTCATGAGTTGCAATGAACCAAAATTATGATATTATGCTATGAAAGATGAGATGAATTCCATGATAACCAACGATATTTGGAATCTTGTACCGTTATCTCATGGTGTAAAAGTCATTAGATGTAAATAAGTCTTCAAACCAAAAAGAGACCC